AGCTCTAAACAACTTTCTTCAAGTTTACTTGTTTCAGACCATTCCCTTCTTGTTTCATTTTGTTAGCTAATATATAATATCTTAACCATGTGACATACATGTAGAAAGAAAAAAACATAGCATAGGGACCACTATCAGGCAACCAACCTTGTTAACATTTTAGTCTTTTGTGGGAAGAAAGGGGGGGGGGGGGGGGGGGGAGAGGTGGGGAGAAAGCCTGAAGGGTACCTTGGCAGCCACTTTAAACTGCAGTTTTATTTTTAATTTCTGGTGGAATCCTCATTCCCCTGGTTTTTTCTACAATTAGGAAAACGGACATTTTTCACCTTCAAGGTTGATACATTTTGTGCGCAGCAACCTCATCATGGACACTGGTAGCCAGACATTCTCGCAGAGAAACCCTTACGGAAAACCATGGCTTAAAAGTGATAAAAAAACATGTGCTATAAACAGCCATCCTGCTTGATTGGTTTGTAATTAAGGAAGCGCATACCGTGTTTTAAAAGCCTCGACATATAGGAGTGATTTCGAGACTGACATGTATAAATGACTATTGTGGACACAGATGTGCACACCCATGGCGAACTGTAACACTTCTCCTAAGATGGCCGCTAAGATCAACGTTGAACAAACGTCGTAAAAGACAATCATGGGGGTGTTTACACAAATGTTGTGTTCAGTAGTATGGGATGTTTCAATCTATTTTACGACGCATTATCATTCAAGTCCAATCGATACATTAAATTTTTCCGCTGAAAATCGTGGAAACCGCATCAAAAACGCTTCAGTTTTGCAAAATTTTCTGGGGCATACCCCCAGACCCCCCTAGCAGAAAAGGCCATTTGGCCCCATATCATGGTTACTGGACGGGCACTCACAGAATCCTGTCTAAAACCGTGATTCACTGCATGTCAAGAATGAATTTTATTAAAAGGGGAGGGAATAATTAGTTATTTCCCTAGACATCGAACAAAAAGGCAACGCAACCCCATCAGTTGGGCAATAGCCGCTTATAAATGTGTCTGCTACTTGGTTATGTTTCCTCCTGAGTATAATTTTGACAGTAAAGCAAAACGACTGTGGGAAAGATAAAAAATATATATATTTTTTGAAGCCTGTTCCAGGCAATCAGGTTGTGGCGAGTGAAGATTAAGATTGCGGCAGTAGAATATCCACCACCCCGCCCACAAAAAAAAAAAAATTCGTGCGGGGGACTTGACCCCGAAACAAAAGCTCCTGCAGAGGTAGTGGACGTGAAAAACCA